ATATATATAAAGATATATAAAGAGAGAGAGAGAGAGAGATATATATATATATATACACGCAAACAGAAAACATCGACCGTATGAGAGTTGTGCAACGGACTATTATAAACCTTCACATACCTCTTATTCNCTTTTTTTTGTCGAACAGAGGACCCCACAGCTCAGTATTGCCATGCGATGACCTCAGGGACAGTTGTGTCGATTGTCAGTCCTACGGAATTAGATACAGTAACGGAATATGCCAATCAGGCTGATGTAGAAATATCATTGAAGCGACTCCAGTACGGAGAAGCAGTCGATATCAACAGCGCAGATGCTGATCGGCCCATTCCAGCACCCACTGATTATTAAAATAATGTGGAACAGTTCATAGCGTGCTCTGTATTGCATGGCAATCATATTACGTATTGAAGTAGAGAGTGAATGGTATATCAGCCTCTGGGATTAGATTTAGTCTACACGCTAATCGGCGCCGTAGAATAACTACTATCCAGTTTGCTTCAGTACAACTAATGGGGAGATTTCGGAAATTAATAAGGTGTTAATATAGTGGTGTACACTTTTTTTTTTTGGTAATGCTGGGTAGTGTGACCAATACAGAGCAAAGTGTACGTACCATGACTACTGAAATTCTCTTCCGCATTGCATTTGGAAAGATCCTGCCATATCAGTCATAGTTGGGACATACCAATATCCTAACTTATAAATCTCGCACTAGAATTGTCTCGCCGCAATCCTCCTCGATTCCTCACGAAGTTCGCTATAACATGATAGAAGACAGCCGTCAGAATAGAGCCGATATAATATTGCAAGAATGTACGTTATTTATTATTCGATACTACTCGAATTCTGTTAATTTCTGCCTAAGCAACCATATCAAGATGCATAGCGTGAAGCACACAATTCTGAGCTCATATCACTTTAAAACACACAATAATTACGTAAATGCTGATATGGTCTTAATGTTTTAAGGCGAACTGAATTTTCTGTGACTATTAAATTCTAATGAAAAACCGGAGAGACGACCAAATAATCGGATTCGTACGAGGGGGTGATAATATCATGGTTTTCTTCCAACTCTTTTCGAACGGCTAACAAAGTAGTACAAATACTGATTACCTATGTAGCAATTTGTCATAGCCTATTCTGTGAGTGTGGTGACTATCTGAAATGCCTTTCCTTATTGGCACAGCATAAATCAATATACCAACTGACGATGAAACCTTTTGGAAAATACTTTATGAAATTTTAGAAGTAGATTGCACCCATTTTAAAAAGTTAATAATTATTGAATCGACGTACATAAAAACTATACTCTCATGAAGCCATTGGCATTTGGCGTATAGCCAACCTGTTTCATATCTGTTCGACTACTCTTTTATACGTGTCGACATTCGACACAGTAAATACTCAATAGAAGTACTTTTATTATACTTGCAATGAAGCATTGGCATTTAGAAAATCAGTAATCGTTCAGGTAACGCGTAGAAAATAAATATTTTATAAATAATGATTAAGGTTGTTGTGGGAAAAATTGGCGTACTTTATGATGGAGCTATAACGGTATGCAAATCAAGCTTATCATAAACTACCATGTTTTTGCTTACCAAATGCCATGAAACTTGAAAGGCGAAAGCTGATATGAAGCAATTTATAAATAGTTTAGTGCATCGTCATTGGTGCAGCTGTTAGTGATAAAATACGTTTCCTAATTGTGGACTACTCATTTCAATATGACTAAAAATAGATTCTTTGTGTAAATTGTTGCGAAACTGATACAATCACCCAATCAGATTACACTCATTTTTGGATAGGGGTTCGAAATTCGAATTGACGATTTGACGGTCACTCTCACAGACTCCACTCTCTCTCTCTCTCGCTTGTGATATGAGTAAGCAAACTCCAACGGTCCAGTCTTGTCCAGGCTCCAGCGGTCCAGCCTCCAGGTCTCCACTATCCAGTCACCACTACACAATAACTTAATAAGAGAGAGAGAGAAAGATTCTGATTTAGGCCACAACAAAGAGAGAAGAGAGCCGTCTCTTGAGTCTTGACTCTTGAGCCTTGACAGTATGTATTCAGTTTCCGAAGTGCCGACAGTCGAGAACCTCTGGGGCCCTGTGCCCCCCCTAAAGGCAAGGACTTAAAAATAATATTTCGCCAACGTATCATAGAAGGATAGTTTCTGGGGGAAAACCTGTTGTGCGTTAAAAGCGAAGGCAAACATAACAGGTTGTCAAACATCGACTATTTAAGCGCATGAAATACATTTGTTTGGATGTTATATAGACGCTGCGGATGAGACCAGCTGGTGCTTGTCAGTCGAGGCAAACATAACAGGTTGTCAAACATCGATTTTTTGAGCACATGAGTTGCATTTGTTTGCGTGTTACGTATTTTTTAGACGCTGTGGATAAGCTCAGGTGGTGCTTGTCAGTTTCATTCACAGTGTGCGTTCTTTCAAATGCACTGGAAGTCTGGAATGGCAGTGAGATTGGATCCCCCTACTATCCACAAGACTGCCTTGGTTTTCAAGGTTTGATAAATGATACTCAAAAAATGATATTCTTTTCGGTCTATATTTTCTATTGGCAGGCTAGGTTCGCTAGAAGAAAGTTTCAACATTTGATGTTCATTTTTGCATGTCGGACAGCGCATTGTATAGCCATATATGGATCAAACACTCAAACGCACACAACCTTGTCAACAATAAGCATATCAAATCTACATCGCCTTTCAAATTATAGCAAGCAACAATCAATACATGAAAGGCTTGCTATATTCGTCAAAATGATCTATTCCCAAAATCCATATGCGACATTTTGAAGTTTGAAGTTTGTTTGTTTTGCATGTCGGATAACGCACAACTCCCGTATTCGAATCGAACGTTCATTGATACACATATAACAGCCTTGTCAAGAATAAGCATTTGTATATCTTCATCGTCCGAACACTTGTTACAGTAATATTTCACTATATGAAGATTATATATTGTCCTCCAGTGTACACCTTATAAAGATATAAAGACACAATAGATGTTTTGAAATACTCATTGATACCTTCGAAGGCTCTGTTGAATAGACTAGTAAACGAGATGAAATATTTCTTAACTCAGACAATCGCCAAGTTTTCGATTCAAACCGACTTTCAAATATAGTCTACCGGTTACTGGCAACACACAGAGCAATGAATCTGTACAATAAATATTGAATGAACGCCTTCGTAAAGCTATTTTAAGGCTGTGTCGAATAGAGTGAGGACTTATTAGAGGACTCCCATAAGTCCCATTGCATATAGTTGCATACACAATACGATTAACAGAGACTTGTGAGTTTAGACCGGAGAGGTGATCATGACAGTGATGGAGAGGAGTTCGTTGACCACAACAATAACAGTGTTCCTGGAAGAATGCCAGATTTTACTCTATTTGCACGAGTTATTGAAAATATGTCAAAAATCAAAAAATTAGGTCTTATCGGGCCATCCATAGGGCAAGCGAACAAAAATTTGTCACGAGAGTTAAGTCGAAGATTCGATTGATTTATTTCTACAAACTACATAACTAAAAACAGGAGAGATGGCTACAGTATTATAGAGAGTATAGAATATAATGAGCTTCAATTTAGAAGACCCTACATAACAGCTGAAGTTACAAGAACAAAATACATTCAACGTATCAGACGGCATGTATTAAAGCCGCAAACACAGAGACGCAACTTAGCATACTGATGCTTATGACTACTTGAATACACAAGTAATCTCAATTGCGCTACGTTTCGAATATAGTTCACATGCTGTCATTCACACAAACAGCCCAGGATATAAACTAAACATTAGAGACCTTTGTACAGAATCAGGCAACGCAACACACCCAGCTTTAATTATAGAAAAGCCATACAAGTACACACAACAAAGCACATTCTTCAGCATGAGTCAACATATCTCAGCTGACCACCTTCATAAAATGCGAGTAGTAGTGATGGGCCCTGGTGGTGTGGGTAAATCAGCGACGACCCTACAGTTTGTCCGTAATACGTATGTGCCTCGCTTGATTATAGTGACGGTTACTTTATTGTTTTTATTATGTACTTATGTCCATTTTTGTAGGCAATAGCCTACCTGTGATTACAGCTTATTCCGAGGTAGATGAAGACCAGTTGTGACATATTATACCGCGAAGCACAAGGCATTATGTATCTTCTACTCCGCCTATATGTTGCGTGAGTACGGTGTCATGCTTGTTTATAATTCCTAACTCTGTACGGCCAATGACTGTGGCAGTTGAGAGAGTGTGCTAGTGTGTATCGAGTCTTACTGCTAGGGAGCTATGTACCAATTGAGGAGTTCAGCCCTTGTCTGTACCGTATGCAACAATCACTCGGAACACACATTGTCCAGTCTTTTCTGTTGACTATACTTTGGGAACGCATCAATATCTCAAGCGATAAGTATGTCTGCCATCAGATCGTCGGATGATATTTAGTATTTGCTACTTCGCCATGCACGGTCTCAATAGGTGGCACCCACTATGCCCAGTAAGCATTAATAGCTGGATATAAAAGCGTACCTTTAGCACGAATGTCTTCTAATCAGAGCAAATGATTGTCCTGTTGAGAGGTTCAGTATCTTTCTAGCGTGAAGTACGCATGCTTTAATGCTCAAATTGATTGAATTCTCTGTACAGATTCTTAGAAGAGTATGATCCTACAATCGAAGATTCATACTCAAAGACACTGAATATTGAACCAGGAGTGGTTGAACTGGATATCATAGACACAGCCGGCCAAGAAGAATTCAGGTCAGTTCGAATCTTAAATATTCGATCTACAAAGTGCGAACCGTTTACAAAGATCGGCCTTCAATCGTACAACGAATGAATCAGTTATAACTTAGTGTACCAAGCACTTATATCCCCCTTGCATACTTCTTAATTTGTTCTTTAAGTTTGACATATTTACTGTATCGTAAACAATTTCTTGACGCGATCAGCGGTTGTAGTTTACTTCAAAATCGGGAATTCAACACGACATGTACTAAATTCTCTCCTTACAGGAAAATGTGGGGAGACAAACACATCTCGAATGGAGATGGATTTCTACTAGTGTTCAGTTTGGTGGACGAAAACTCGATCAGGGACTTAGAGGAGATACGACAGCAAATAGAACATGTCAAAGACCGATGCAATGTAAGTGTTTTGAACAAAAACTCATA